AGTGAGACTCCAACTCAAAAAAAATAAAAAATAAAAGACTGGCTGAGCTTGAGTGGCCGAGCCCTGAGAAAGGAGGTGCCAGGGAGGTCGCTGCCTCAGCCCCTCGCCCCAGGCTCACATCCACAAGCAGCACCGCCCCCCACGGCCCCCACATCCACGAGCAACAACGCCCCCGTCCCCCCTCACATCCGCCAGCAGCGCTGCCCTGCCGTCGTCTTCCCAGCCACATCCACAAGTAGCCCCGGCCCGGCCCCACCCCCAAGAGTTGACTGTGCTCTGGCATCGCCTGGCCCTGTCAACGTGGCCACAGACACACCCTGCAGAGGGTCCTGGCTTAGCCACGTGGACATCTTTGCCTGGAGCAAGGACAGGACCCTGATACCCTGAGCAAAGTGGGTTCCTTAGAGAGGGGAGGGCAGCTGGGTATGAACCGCAGCCGTCTGGAAAAGCCTCGCTGGGTCAGTGGCTGGAGCGATGGGCTGCATTAAAGCAGGTGTCAGAGTGGGCCCTGGCCAGCACCTCAGCGCCTAGAACCCTGCCCCAGCCTGTGGAGTCGGAAGTCCTGGGGGCCCGGCCACCCCCACGAGCATGAGAAGGGGCGGGGGAGCCGCAGCAGGTGCAAAGGCCCCGGGGCAGGATGGAGCGCAGGGAGAGAGGGACAGCCAGAGGGACGGCCCAGCTACCAGGAGGTACCAGGGTCGCTCCATGCACGGCGCAAGTCCCAACCACACCCTGGCGCTAGGAGGGGCTGGAACAGTCCGTTTCACAGGAGGTGGGTGGGGGAGAGGAGCTACACTCATGAGACCACCACTCAGCATGCTTTCAGGCACCCAGGCAGCAGATGCAGGCCCAGAGCTCCACCTCTATCCCAGGGCGGGGCCAGCTGGATGGGCGATGCCAGTGCAGGCAGGCGGGCAGCCAGGGCCAGCCTATACTCACCTCCCAGGGCCCGACCGCATCTGTCACCATCTGCTCGCAGGAACTGATGGGGCCCTGACCCCGGACTACCTGGGATCTGCGGGAGACCACTCTGCTCCCGTCCATGGGGTACCAGCTCTGCCCTGCACCCCGACAGCTGGCTGTGTGGTCCAGCAGACTGCGGAGAAGCCAGCTGGCCCTCTGTGCAGTTGGAAAACAGCGCCTGTCACCCTCCAGAGGCAAAGCTGGCTGGGACCAGGAGTCTGCACCAAGCTGGAGGCTCTAGCTGCTGGTGGGTCTCCCAAGTGGGGTTTTTGTTGATTTGGTAGGTCTTGGCTTTTGGGGTTTTTTTTAATTTTTAATTTTTGTGGACACAGGATCTGACTATGTCGCCCAGTCTGGTCTTGAATTCCTGGCCTCAAGCGACCCTCCTGCCTCAGTCTCCCAAAGTACTGGGATTACAGGCGTGAGCCACCAAGCTGGCAGACTGGTGCCTTAAAGCCCAGACACTCTATTTTTCGAGTTGGAGTCTCTGTTGCCCAGGCTGGAGTGCAGAGGCACGCTCACGGCCACCGCAGCCTCGACCTGCAGGGCTTGGGCAATTCTTCTGCCTCAGCCTTCCAAGAAGCTGGAACCACAAGCACGCGCCCCCACACCCAGCTAATTTTTTGATTTTTGATAGAGACGAGTTTTCACCAAGTTGCCCAGGCTGGTCTCAAACCCTTAGGCTCAGGCAATCCTCTCTCCTCAGCCTCCCAAAGTGCCGGGATTACAGGCATGAGCCACCGCGTCTGGCCTATTTTTATTTTTGTTTTTTTTATTTATTTATTTTTAGCTGAAGTCTCACTCTGTTGCCCAGCATGTTCACATCCACCACAGCCTCAACCAGCTGGGCTCAAGAGATCCTTCCGCCTCAGCCTCCCAAGTAGCTGGTACTATAGGCGTGTGCCACCACACCCAGCTAATTTTGTGATTTATTGTAGAGATGAGGTCTCACCAAGTTGCCCAGGCGGGTCTCGAACCCCTGGGTTCAGACAGTCCTCTCACCTCGGCCTCCCAAGAGCTGGAATCACTGGCAAGAGCCACTGCTCCTGGCCCCGTCTGTATCTCGATGTGGAGACGGTCTCAGGTTCAGAGAGCTGCGAGCAGAATACTTCTCCCTGGGTCCTTGGAAGCACGGGCACCACCCCGGGCCCCTTTCTGGGCTTCCTGCACACCACGATCCTCTCGATGCTCAGACGCTGTCTGGGTTTCTCCACTTCTCCCAACACCCTGCAGGGAGGCACAGCCGTCCTCTCCCTCTTAGTCTCTGTCTCCCTCTGTCTCTCTTTCTGTATCTTTCTCTGTCTCTTTCTGTCTTTCGGTATCTCTGTCTCTATGTCTCTGTCTCTGTCTTCTCTGTCTCTGCCTTTGTTTCCCTTTCTCTCTCTTTTTGTCTCCCTCCTTCTGTCTCTCCCTCTCCCTCTCTGTCTCTCTGCCCTTGTCTCCCTCTCTCTCTCTCTGTATCTCTGTCTCCCTCTGTCTCTCCTTCCCTGTCTCTCTGTGTGTGTCTCTGTCTCCCTCTCTTTGTCTCTCTGCCTGTGTCTCCCTCTCTCTATCTCTGACTCCCTCCTGTCTCTGTCTGTCTCCCTCCCTCTGTCTCTCTCTCTGCCTCTCTATCTCTCTCTCCCTCTGTCTCTCCGGTTCTCTCTGGAGGCCTCCGGGACTTGGCCAGCCGGGCCCAAGCTCTTGCTGTCTGATGGTGGAGGCGGGTGGCTCCTCTCTCATGTGGCCTTGATGCTGGCTCCGAGAAGGAGCCTCCATGGGCCCTGGGCATCCTCCCGCAGACTGCCATATGCCAAGGGCAGATGCCGAGTGCCCATGGCATTCCTGTCATTCTTCTGTGAGGGAGAGGGAGACACATCTGTGAAGCAGGCACTACTGGGGTGCTGGAACCACAGCCTTGAACCCAGTGGAGCAAATCCTCAGTCTCACGAAATCTGTAAAATCCGTAAAAAAAAAAAAAAGGCAGCAACGACATTCATGTTGCATCTATAAGAATACCCGGGGCTGGGCTTGGTGGCTTAGCCTGTAATTCCATGCTTTGGGAGGCCGAGGTGAGTGGATTGCCCGAGGCCGCGGGTTCGAGACTCGCCTGGGCAACTTGGCGAGACCTCATCTCTACAATAAAT